TCAGGATGTAAAAGATAGAAATATATCAATAGATGTGATCAGGATGTTGAAGGACTCTCGTGGTTTTTGGTTAAACTGTAAATGTTTCTCAGACTTGTTGCTGCCCTCTGTGATGTCACTTCCTGTTGTTGGTTTTAAAGTGCTGTGTAAACAAATAATGACTTTGTATACATGATAAATAATGTTAAATTATTATTTTTAAATATGAATGTTTCTGCTGAGTGTCCTGAGACGACTTCTGTTGTGACGTGGAGCTACAGAAATAAACTGAACTGAATTGATTGTTGTTCCATTTGATCGTGCAGAGTGAACGTAACGTTGCTCTGATCTAATCCAGGCCTGTTTTTAATCTCACAGATTAAACAGATTAAACACATTACGTTAATCTCTCAGAGTGACATCAGCTCTTTACACTGAGCACAAACAAACCTGCTCTGAGCCTAATATTTTCCTTTGGATTATAATCTGATCTTTCAGAATAAAAGGTGCTGCTGAGTTTGAGACTGAACTGGGTGTAAATGATTACCTGTCCATTTACACCCAGACTGTGTCGTGTCAACCTCAACCTGGTTCCATGAAGGGTTTTAAACTTGATATCTACCGACACGTTTCCCTCAAACCGCCGTCTGTGGACGAACTGTTTAAGACTTTTAATGTGGAAACGACTGAAAGTTCCCAGAGACGTAAACTGATCTTGAGCCAGCCAGCAGAAAGACGGGATTATCTCCAGAATTAGAGCAGAGGTAATCTGCTGAGTGAACCCAGTGTACCAGGTCCAACGGATCCAACAGGAAGCAGCACAGTCCAGTCCAGGAACAAGTCCATCAGAACTGAAAAACTGTCCGTGGTCTTCAGATCGTTGGTTTTATATAACGAGATGAAATCTTTTTATTGTTAACACAGAAATGAAAACCAGCTGAGCTGGTCTGGATCAGAGTTTAAGAAGGAAATCAAAAGTTAAACGATTGACGACGAAGGGTGCAGTTGTGTTTGATCGTTTCACTGCTTTGATGGATCCCGTTGTGTTCCCGGACTTTTGTAGACGTGTTTCTGTCGGCATTATGACCGTCGTGGTGATGATGTACAGCTGCCTTTTCTAAGCCGAGCCCGGGACCGCTCCGGCTCACAATGGTCAGGACATAATAATTTGCTTGATGAGTGGGCCGGGTCGGTCTCAGGCTTCTATGGTGCGGTTTTACGAATCATGGATTCATGGACTTTTATTCCTCTTTGTCTGGATGTAAATCAGTTTTTGGATGACTGTTTCCTCTGGTGTCAGATGCAGAGCAGCTGGAAGGACTTTTACTAGCGATGCACCGATCCACTTCTTTTTGTACTTCCGATCCTGATACCTAAATCTGGGTATCAGACGATACTGATCCAGTTCCGATATCCTGATCATCATTGATTTTATATGAAACTGTAATAATCTCCTCTCAAGTACAATTTGTACAAATATATGCAAGTATGTCCAAAAAGGCAACTTGAGGTAAAGTTGGATAAATTTCAAAGTTAGAATTAAATTCTAACACAAAACATGTTTTTTTTATTCCCAGCTTTAAAGTGAATATTAAAGTGATTAAATGTCTTCAAACATCAAACATCTGCTAAGTTCATGGCACAAACCAACAGACATGTTCCTGTTTTTAGTATTTTACATCACTTTATAATGTAGCTGTTTTTGTTTCGCTTTTTTATATATAATGTTCTTTTATTTTTCAATTCATATATATTTTTTTATGATCGTCTCCTGTTGTACTGATAAATATCTCCTGGAGGGTAAACTAGATCTTGGCTGCAAATATTCAATCAAGCTGTGAAGCAGACAGTCTGGTTTCAGTCTGCTCCTCCAGACGGACAGACTGAAACCAGACTGTCTGCTTCGGACTGAACGAGAGGAACGCACCGCTGAAGCCACGGAGCTTGAACGTCCAACATAAAACTAACTTTACCGCGGTGCCTGGCTAAACAATCCTCGTGCTCTTTAATGTGCTGCTTTTTCAAATGTTTATTAAGTTTGACGTATTGTAGGTCGTGACGGAGCTTCCTCCTCTCGGCACAGCGGCTCTGCAGACCGTGCACGTTGCTGTCTTGTCTTGTGGTGTTCAGTGTAAAATACTTCCACACAGCGACATGTTTACATGAAAGTGTGTTAGCTGTTAGCCACAGTGCTGCTAACTCAGGCCTCACGTTGTAGCTGCTGCAAACTATGGACTGGATTTCCTGAATGTGGAGCGGGTCTTATTACTCTGGGTTCATGAGACACGTTCAGGAAATCCATCCCATAGTTTGAAGCCAACTGACAGTGGTGGAGAAAGTCCTCAAACACTGTACTTAAGTAAAAGTACAAATAAACAGACAAAAATGTACTCTAGTAAAAGTAGTACAACATTAACGTTTTTTCTTAAGTAAAAGTAAATAAGTACTTGCTTTTAAAAATGCTTAAAGTATTAAAAGTAAAAGTACTTGCTGAATGTATTACCTAATGCAATGGTCTAATATCTTTTTTTTTCATTCAACCTTTATTTAGACAGCTGTTGTCCATTGTTGTCATCTTTCTTTGTTAAATCAGGTCTCTCTTGTAAATGAGTCCTCGAGGCTCAATGGGATTTACCTGGAGAAATAAAGGTTGAATGAACATGTGGATACGTTTCATCAGACACAGCCATGCATCATGGATCGGAAAAATACAATACTTAAATTATACTGGTATCGGAGGTCAATACAGATACCGGATTGTCCCCATCCCTAATTTTTACTGAACTTTTTTTTGTTTGTACGTTTATTATGATGAATGACCATAACAAGGAGTTTTTTTTTTTGTTTTTTACAAACGGGAACAGCTGATTAACATCTCAAAAGCTCAAATAATATCTCAGCTACAGCCCCAAATCTCAAATGAGTTGAAAAGGAGGCGCCGTGGATACAATCCTGTCTACCTGCCAGCCAGCTGTGCTCGAGTGCCAGACCACTGAGATCCTGGAAGTAGCAGGAAACGCGGCTCGTGACAGCGGAAGGACTGAGATTGTCCCCTGACACCTGCACCTGGCTGTCTGCAGCAACGATGAGCTCGGCAGACTGATGGGAGGAGTGGCCATCGCTCTGGAAGGAGTTCTGCCTGGAATTGGGCGGTTTTGAAGCCTGGGGTAACCCAGAGGCCAGGCAAGTCTAGGTGGACGGATTGGACAGCATCTGTGGCCAGTTTCTTCTTCTTCTCGCTGCACTGGACTGAGGACTGTCCAGACCTCTACATTGGAGAAACTAAACAGCCTCTTCACAGACGCATGACTCAACACAGGAGAGCCACCTCCTCTGGACAAGACTCATCTGTTCACCTCCACCTCACAGATAAGGGACACTCTTTTGAGGACCAATATGTGCACATTTTGGACCGAGAACACAGATGGTTTGAGAGGGGGGTGAAGGAGGCAATTTATGTAAAAAGAGAAAAGCCGTCTCTTAACAGAGGAGGAGGCCTCAGATTTCCACCTTCAAAAACCTATAATGCAACTTTAAAACAGATCCCCAGCCAGTTTTCACACCTGATGGGAACAGAGGGGTCTCGACTGTGAATTAAGAGGAACAAAGACCTACTGTTTAGGTGTTTAGGTGTGAACTGCCAATCTACATGTGTGTGTGTGTCTTATCTCACTCAGCCTTATAACCTGAATCTCTCACTCTCTGCTCTTTGAATAGAGAAAGCTCCTCGGATGAGGAGAGAAACGTCTTCTGTTACAAATAAAGTCCAGTTGTTTTTGTATTGAACGCTTTTTGAATTCATCATGTCCTGGATGACTGAGAATCTTCACCAACATCCCTTTGGTTTTGTCAGCATTTAGCAGCAGTTTGAGATGGAACAAGTCTGACTGGATGATGTCAGATGCAGAATGTAGAAACTGGAAAACCCTGACAACTGTGTTAGCTCGGCAATAAACAACAGTGTCATCAGCATAGAGATGCAAGGATGCGTCAAGAATGTTTAGACCTACATTATTTATATGAATTGTAAAAAGAATGGGACCTAAAACTGAGCCTTGTGGCACACCATTGGTGACCATTAGGTAGCTAGAAGTACAGTTATGTCGAACAAATTGCCTTCGACCTGAGAGATAGTTTGACAACCAGCCAACAGTGTGATCTGAGAAGCCACTATCTGAGAGCTTGTGGCAGAAGATGTGATGATCTACAGGAGCAAAGGTTTGGACAGGTCTAAGTAAAATGCAGGACAGTGTCCAAAGCTTCAACATCATCATTAAAAACCTTTAGCGAAGCAGTCATGCGGTGTTGTTTCCTGAAGTCGATTATATAAATGGTATTATGACCGTTTTGCTGTTTCTGTTGGTACCGATTGTCTTGTTGCGTTTTTGTTCATACGACAGTTTTGTTTTTATTGTGGATATTGTTGAAGTGAAGATTCAACACAATCTGCTAAATGTTTTTTATAACGTATGTGAATATTTTTGTTCAGTGCCCTGAGCTGTATGTTGGGACTTGGAGCTACAGAAATAAACTGAATTGAATTTAGATTTTTGTTTATAGTATGCTTCGTCTTGGTTTTAAGGTTATTCAATCTTAGCATCTGGTTTTGTCGCCCCTGAAGGCCATCCAGGACATCACACGGAACAGAGACATTGACCCCGAGGAGATCGTGACACTCATTTTTGAGAGGATCGATGTTAAGGGTGAAGGTAAAAACCATGATGTTTACAGTTCCATCTGAGAAGTTCCCATGGTCACGGTCCTGATCGTGTTCTACTGTGTCCTTCCTCTAACAAACAGCTGATCGGTCTAGTATGAACTGTAATACCTGTTGACCTCTGACCCCACAGGTGAGATGACCCTGGAGGAGTTCATTGAAGGAGCCAGAGAGCACCCAGACATCATGGATATGTTGAAGAACCTGATGGACCTGACGCCGGTTCTGGAGATAATAGTGAAGGGTCGACAGCCCATCACCAACGACTGACTGAAACAAAAACAATAAAATCTTCTGAACTCTTGAAACAACCAAACACCAGATTTTCGATGGACTGCGGTCCGATTGGTGAGTTTGGTTCGTCTCTACAGCCATGAAGGTTTGAACAAAACTTTATTAAGCTGCTGGATTTCCAACGATGCCGTTCTGCTTCAGGTTCAATTCCACTGCCCGACTCGTCCACAAGCAATTTTTAACTTTTTCACTCTGGATTTACAGAACCGATCCGGCTGCTCCACAGGCTCTGTTCTGACTCTGGTTTATTTAGTTAGTTAGTTTTTATTTCTTTTTATTCACAAAACTTATCCACTGGATGTCACACAACATTTTTGTCCTCAGTGTCCAAAGATTTATCCGATTTTATTTTTTTCTTGTTCTGTGACTAAACAGCAGCTGAGTTAATTTAAAAACAGACGTTTTATGCAGATGACATCATGATCAGTGGTGAGAACAGGTGGAAGAGAACTTGGAGAGGTGGAGGTATGCACCTGAAAGAAGAGGAATGAAAGTCAGCCGTAGTAAGACAGAGTCCATGTGTGAATGAGAGGGAGGAGGTGGAACAGTGAGGCTACAAGGAGCAGAGGTCACAAAGGTGCAGGACTTCAAGGACTTGGGGTCCACTGTCCAGGAACATGGAGAGTGTGGTGAAGAGGTGAAGAAGAGAGTCCAGGCAGGATGGAGTGATGGAGAAAAGTTTACAAGACAGTGGTGAGACCAGCTATGTTGTATGGTCTGGAGACAGAGACATGGACAAAAAGACAGGAGACAGAACTGGAAGTGTCAGAAATGAAGATGTTGAGGTTCTCCTTAGGAGAGACAAGGATGGAGAAGATCAGGAATGAGATCATCAGAGGTACAGCACAGGTTGAACAACTGGGAGATAAAGTTAGAGAGGACACACTGAGATGGTTTGGACATGTCCAGAGGAGGGACAGTGGTTTGGACATGTCCAGAGGAGGGACAGTGGTTTGGACATGTCCAGAGGAG